ATTTAGAGCTCTGTAGTTTTTTTTTTATTTTATTTTAAGGATAGTAAAATATAACAAAACAAGACAGAACAAAGCCAGTCGAGACAATGCATTGAAACTGGTACAAAACTTCACAGCAGTATACCAGGATAACAATAATAGGTATCATGGTATATCTTGTTATCTTCACAAGTTGTCCATTCAATCAGGAATAGCAAAAGCAAACCAAAAACAGAACACTATAAAAATAATCAAAATAGAATATTGACTAGAGCAAAACAATCAGAACAAAGCAAGTGTGCAACTAATAATGGCCTTCAAAGACAAGATAGAAGGAAATCCCCTATATTTGCTATAATGGGTACTGTCATCCTCTCAAGAGATGCTCAGACATCTGGCCCCAGGTCAGCATAATCAAAGAAACACTACAAGCATTTAGTACTTTATGTGCTATAGTTGCTGTCAACTCTGGGTGTCCTGGAAACCAATTGCTAATAGGGCAGAGTAGGGGTGGGGCATGGGACATTTGATTCTCATCCCATGCGCTAGTAGGCTCTTGGGAGACACAGACTTATACTCTCTTCCTGGTGTACCAACGGCTCGCTTGCAGCGCTTACCAGAAAGGCTGGCTCGTTGCTTTCTTGGTTGGTCCCCCAAGTTCCAACGTGGCTGATTCTTGGGAGATGCTGACTTGTTCTCTCCTTGGCACCTGCAGTTTGTTTTATTATCTAAAATATATATATTTCCAAACTGGAAAGCCAGTAGTCTGTGATGTTGTTAGGTTTGGGGTCTGCTGCTCAGTAATAATCAGCAGGTGTTTTTCCGTTTATGTTTTTCTATTTTAAAACACTTTAATTCTATAAGTATTCTTCATTTTTTCCCCCTCTCAGCTCCTGGAGCCACTAATACTTCTCTGTCAATGAATTTATCTGTTTGGAATATTTCATATAAATGGTATCGTACTCTATTCAGCATTTCCGATTAGCTTCTTGTCACTGGGCATAAGACTTATTCATGTTGTATGACCTGATTCTTGATTGACTGATTTTGCTGTTTTTATAGTTAAGGACCAAAGAAATGGTAATTCTCTTCAACAAATGATGAGCTGTCAAAGTGGTAAAAAGCATTATGTTTTTGAAAGACTGAAGAAGGAGGATCTGAAAATTCAGGCCCAGCTTGATGGCTCAGCAGATCCCTGTACAAAAAAACAAAAGGATGGAACTGAAGGTTTTAGTTGGGAATGTAGCTCAGTGTGGAGATCTTGGATTAGGTGCCCAGTCTCCCCCACACTGCAGGAAAAAGCCCACTAAAAAACAAAGAATCAATGTTTTAATAATGCAGGGCTCAGAGGAGGAAGTTAGGAACTTACTAGAGGAATTTGGAATCAGTATATACAAGTTATATGTTCATTTATATGATAATTTCATTGAAGGATATTTTCCCTTTCAGGGAAATTCATTAAATTTTGGGTGTACTGTATTTTATTTCTTAATGATTTTTAGTGGAGTATCTCATTCCTTTTATTATTCTCTAAAGTAGGCATCAAATAACTTGAAAGTATTTTTTAGAAAAAACAAAAGAAGCTTGCTCAGTGAATGATGAGAATGGTTTATCTTGATATACTTGGGGTTAAATTGACTGCCTGAAAGGGAGCATTGTTGGTATAGCATTTATGTAACCAATTATATTGAAACCACATTAGAATATTAATATTTACAAGATTTTGAAATAGGATTTGCATTATTAAGTATAATATTGTTTAAAATAATTTCAAATCCTTGTATTTATATCTTATCTTCCTTTTTTAAAATAATGTATACCACATAATAATTTACCAAAGGCAAGGTATGCATCAATTGGATGTGCTGACGGACATACTGCTTATAGATTTTCATGTTACTTTTCTGCATACTTGTGATTGTAAGAAGACAGTCACCATTACTAACAAACCACTGCTAGCATCTCAAGACTCTCTAGCTTAATCCTATCTCAGTTAATCAGTATTCAGAGTTCTATCAACATAGACAAGTTTTGTCTGCTTTTGAATTCTATGTAAATAGAATCACACAGCTCTTATTTCCATCTGATTTTTAGCTAACCATCGTCTGAGATACTGATCTGTGTTATTACGTGTTCCTTTCTTATTGCTGAGCATTCTATTGTCTGCATATCTTTCTTCTTTTCATTCTACCTTTAGTGAACATTTTAAATAGTTTCTAACTTAGGGTTTTAATGAATAAAAGCTGTATGAGCACTCTTGTAATGCTATTTGGTAAACATACACATACCTTATTGGAGGGAAAGATCTAACAGAATGGTTGGGTCATTCTGGCTTGAGCTTTTCTGCCAGACTTTTCCAAAGTGATTGTACCATATAAAAATTGTCTTCACTGTATTCTGTTCACTTACACTTTTTTTTTTTTTTTTAATGACACCGATCCAACTTTTACTATGTCTCCTGCCCTCTTATATAGGCAGGGCTGAGACCTGGATGGGGGCAGAGCCTTAGATGGGGTCCCGGGAAGGTTGAGGGGGCTACTGGGGGCGGGGCTGGAGTGGGGCGGAGTCTGGTAGGGAGACTCACTCAGTCTGCCCAGGACATTCCAGGGTGGAGTCTGCTCAGACCCTCTCCTCTGCCAGAGCCATCAAGCAGACCTCCAGACCTTTACTCTCTACAATCTGTCAACTGCTTTGTGCTTTTAATTAAAATTTGGTGTTGTCACTTTAAAAATATATCTGATGGGTATAAAAATCAATGTAATATTTTTATTAGCTGATGCCAGTGAATGTACAGAATGCCCTGGCATTTGAATGGCTACTTTCAAATGATTAAATAATTTCATTAGTGTAAAACAAGTTGACTACTGTACACAAGTTTTCATTAGTGTAAAACAAGTTTGACTGCTGCATGACAGTTTTTCTTTACCTTAGATGGTTTTACCCTTTTACTTAGTTAAAAAAAAATCCCTAAAATAAAAGTTACTGTCTTACAGAAGGCAATAAACATGATGAGAGTAACTACTTTGTTAAGTAACTGTGCACAGAAATGCACTAGAAACAAATGCCCTTGAGCCTAAAAGAAGGCGCCTGCTGAAGTTACAATGGATTTTAATACTTGTGTATTATTAAAGCAATTATGATGATAAAGAGCATATAAATGGTGGCAGAAAACCATATTTTAGATTCTATTATAGGTTTTTTAGTAAATTGGAAACTTTTTTTTCTTCATGGAATTTTGAAATGCTTTTGCAGTCATTTAAAGCCTTATTGCAAGTAAAGCAATAAAAAGGCAAGAAGTCCAACTACTTTATGTGCAAAGCTTTCATTTCCTGTTTAATGAAAGAAAGGCTTTGTTCAGTGAGCATTCAAGCTTTGCAATTCTTCTTAGTAAATTAGAATTTCCTTAAATAGAAAATAAGGAAAATATTTCCTTAATAAATACTTCGATAGAAAGCAGTTTCACTAAGTTAAAGCCATGGTTAAGAATGTTGCAGCCAAGATATAAGGCTAGTAATTACATTAGATGGGTCATTGAAGGTAATAAAATGCTGAGGAGTTGCTTGGTGCTCAAAACTGTTCTTTGCCCTGTAAATGTATTCATTTGTAGCCCTGAAGACAATTTTATGAGGATAGTAACTATTATTATTGTCATTTATGTTGAGAGCCTGAAAGACACTGGTAGTACGGACTTTGGAGTCAAGAGGACCTCAGTGTTTATGATTGAAGTTTAATTTTAACAACAGTATTTTAAGCAAAGGCCATGCTTTTTTTGCATTGGTCTCTTATCTGCCTAATTCTGAAAATACATGTGAATTATTTAACAAAAATGTATGACATGAGAGAGACCTTGTAACAGGCTCCAGGGACCAGATCAGACCAAAACTCTTGCCCTTGTATACAGTGCTTACAATCTCAAGTGTCTTTAGTTGTTATTTGCTCTTCGCAAATGGATCTTTTTGAGGCTGTGCCTTTTCTTTCCCTTCTGGCAGCTAGATATGTACTAGTCTGTCCGGTAGGGTTCATTTCTAAGAACCTCCAGGAACAAAGATGTTTGTGTAGGTCCCACCAGGAACCAACAGTTTTCTCTGTGTTTGCTCGGGTAGTCTGTAAGTCCAGTCAGTGAGCATGTTTTATGTGATAAGTCCTGTTCTAGCATTGGAGGCTAGAAGATTATAATCTTGGGGGAAAATGAGAGACAGAAATATGAAAGAGGAGGAAACTTTTTGTCTTCTATCTCTGATGTCAACCCATTCATTCTTTTCTTGTATAGAAACTAATCAGAACCTACAAGTAGAGGTATAAGACTCTCTTAGTTACTTTTCTTGTTGCTGAGACAAAATACCCAACACCTGAAATTAAGGGAGAAAGGTTTATTTTCATTGCAGTTTCATTCCATAGTGAATGGCTCCAGGGCAGGGTGGCATGGCAGAAGGGCATCACAAAAGAGAAACAGTTGCATGGCAGGCGGAGAAGCAGAGTAGCAAGTGACAGCAGCAGCCCGCCTTCTGTCCCTTACGTTCTATCCAGGCTGCATGCCCTCAGGGTGGGGAGAACTCACACTGGGGTGGTGGGTCTTCCCATTACCCACACCCAGAACTATGCCAGACCAACCAGTGGACTAATGTAATCATTACCCTCCATCCCAGCATCCCACAACCTAGATCCAGCCACCTCTGAAAAGCCCACCTGTGGCCACCTGAGGCCTTGGGAGGACATCTAGACACAAACCGTAACAAGGACTTTACCTCTCACTCATTCCCTCTTCTGAGGCCACCGCTCAGGTATTCCTTGAAGATGGGAAAGGCAGAAGTATATTTTCAGATTTCTATATTTTTTCAGATTTCTATATTTTTTGTTTTCTAGTTCATATGGTTTAATGTTAGCTTATGTTTCATGCCATGCCTGTATTAAACTTGCATGTGCCAAGAGGTTTGATAGAATCAGTTCAAAGGAAGGGAGGTTTGTTTTTGTTCGCCATTTCAGAAGTTTCATTCATGATTGTCTGGGTCCACTGCTTTTAGACTTGTGACATGGCAGAAATTTTGTGGGTGGGCTGTGATGAAGGAAGCCATTCACCTCATGTTGGCCAGGAAGCAGAGAGAGCAAGCCAGAAAGGAGCGAGCCAGGAACAAGATAACAGTCCCCAGGTGTGTACTTCGAGGACCCACTTCCTCCTGGGTTTCCTTCAGTTCCCAACAATGCCATCACTTTTTAAATCAAGGGCTGGGGGTGTTGCTCTGTGGTATGGTGCGCCTGATATGGAGGCCTTGGCTTCAATCCCCGGTACGGCTTTAAATAAAAGAATATGAATCCATTGATGGATTTATCCACTGAGAAGGTTAGAACCCTCATGATCCAGTCAGCTTGAGAAAGCCCTACTTCTGAACACCTGTGCTTTCTGGAGAATGTTAATAGTTATTTTCCTGTTAGTGTAATAAATACTTGAGATAATCACTTTCTAAAGAGAAAAGGTTTGTTTTGGCTCAAGATTTGGAGTTTTAGTCCATTTAGTTGGTCCCTCTTGGTTGTGGTCTGTGAGGTGAGGCAGCACATTGTGGTGGAGCCAAGCTGCTCCACCTCACAGTGGGTATGAAGAGAAAGAGGGGGAAGCATCCAGGGTCTCGTGGTACCCTTTGAGAGCATCCTCCCAGTGACCAGAAGACCTGCTCAGCACTACCTTTTCAGGTTTCCACTATGTCCCAGTAGCAACTTAGGTTGGGTGCCAAGCCTTCTATACATGAGCCTTTGAGAACACTTACACAAACCAAAGCAGCCCCTCTTCCCTGATGGTTGGACATATATACTAATCATTATTTCATTGACATTTTGCATCATCCAGGCAGTACAGTTCAGTCTCATAATATGAAAGTATTTTAAGAATATAATGTTGGAAAACTACTCTGATTACACAAATTACCATTATTAAACCAGGATTGGGTAGCAAGCAGTAAGCTCCTTAAGAATCAAGACAGAATTGCTAAAGATACTGACATCATGTATGTCCTCAAAATAGAGTGACTTAAATAGTCTCGTGACCTATCCGAAATTCTCATTCTCTTCACTTGCTGTGAATAAATAACCTGCTCTCCTTAGTGAATTCAGCTCAATTACTGTCCTATTCCTTACCTTCTGTGGAGCCAAAAATCTGTCTGCTGACTGGTCTCACTTTCAAGTCCTGGCCGTAAATCTCAGTTAGGCACTGAACGTTGCATCCATTCCTCTCTCCATGTAGGTTTGCTTTCTGCTTTTTTGAAGAGTTTTTCTCCTGCCTCCTCCTCTGTGTATAAACATATGGCGCCCATTTCTGTAATTTTTTTGGCCTTCTTTTGAGAAGACAGCAGCCATAAGGAACTCCCTCACTGCTGCTGCCCCCAGACAATCAGTTTGCCTGCGTTCGTGCTGTCTGCCCTGATGAAATGGGCAGTCCTGTCTCTGTCAGAGAGCAGCAGCTGCACATGGGCCCTGGGTGCCTTAGCCCACAGTTTCAGCCTGTTCATTTCCTCTGCTCTGTGCTGGCATCTCCCTTTTTACCACCTCTCACTGCCACCCAATTTAAAAGGGTATTTTTGTTCATTCTTTACGCTTTCTTAATCAAGGTTTTCTCCTCATTCCAGACCCTGTCACTTGGTATTACCATCTTCCTCTACAGGCTCCTTAAGCTCCAGGTCACCAGTTACCTCCATGTTTCTGTTAAACCTGGTAGATGTTTTTGTTCCTATTATCCTTGATTTCATAATTTTCTACTCCCTCTTTTTGTGATTTTAAGGATTGAAACCAGGGCCTTGTGCTTGCTAGGCAGACACTTTATTACTGAGCTACATCTCTAGCCCTTTTAAAGTTTTGAGATAAGGTGTCACTAAATTTCCCAGCCTGGCTTTAATCTCGAGTGTCCTGCCTCAGCTTCCCTAGTCACCGGACTGCAGGAATGTGCCACTGCCCCTGGCTCCCTGCTTCTCAGAGCACTTCCTCGTCCTGGTTCCCAAGGGCTCCGCTCTCTCGGGTTTATGCTCATCTTCTTGGCTCTTCTCTCCAGATATCCTTTACCGAGTCATCCTCTCTGCTAGTTCTCAGAATATTGTAGGGCTCCAGTTCCTTGCAGGGCACCCTTCTCCTATGTTTTCACTACCTAATTGTGGTTAACCAGTCCCATAGCTTAACTATTTAGGGTACAGTGATACGTGATACTTGCAAATCTGCATTTCTTTATACAAAAAGAAAATTATTGGAAATTTTAGATGATAAAAGGTGTGGTGTGAATTAGTGATCTGCGGAGCTCAGATCACACATTCGTGTTGCAGTGTGTGACCCTGGCAGTGTAGAGGGTGAATGATTGTTTGGAGGCTAAATTAGTTCAGTCACTGGGAGGGCCTGGCGGTAGGGAGACTCCCAGGAGAAGCCCTGAAAAGAAAGGGAAAGGACAGTGGCCAGATACAAGGTGGTTCATTAAACTTACACAGCTGTGTGCTTTCACCGACAGTTTAACCATTCCCCCCTTAACAAAGTCCCCCCACATTCATTTCTTCATTTGTTATATTCGTGACTGGCATGGGGAACATGCAAAGTGGACAGCTGTTGCAAGTTAGCTGATGAGGAAACTTTCCATATTTAAAGTGTTCCAAATACAGAACATGCTGCATCATCATATTCAGTAATTCCATTGTGCTGGAAAGGTGTCTTACAGGGAGAGTGAACATAGCACAGAAATGTTACAGTGCTGTTGTAAGAATCACAGAATGAACCAGGAGTGGTGGTGCACGCCTGTAATCCCAGCCCTTGGAAGCTGATGGAGGAGGACCACTGTGAGTTAAGGCCAGCATGGGCTACATAGTGAGTTAAAGGTTAGTCTGCACTGCATAGTGAGACCCAGTTCAAAAAAACAAAACAAAAACATAATGAATCGATTGTGTCTTCAAGGCTTCTTCAAGTTCTTTATGTAAATGGAAATGTTTGATCTTTTTCAGCCCCAGTAGAATATTGTTTGGGATAGTAGTGTCCGTAGGCCTTGCAGAGAATATTCACTGAAAGATACCCATATGGTTAGGGAAATAAAATGAGATTAAAGTTTCAAGTCAACCCTGAAAGTACAATTTATGAAACAGTATTAAATTTAAAAAATGTAGAACACTGTGTATTGACAGGTTTACTGTGAAAAAAACCTATAATAAGTACCATTATGAAGAATAGTAAAGAAAAAAAAGAATTAACAAAATTCTGAATAAATGAGATGTTTGGAGTAAAGTTATGTGAGTGATTACATGTCTCATATAAGATAGTTTTAAACAGGATTGTCTATAGTTCAGTTGTGAGAGCATACTCATACAGATGCATATGTAACATTATAGCTGCCCTCTACAGTGGGAACGTACAACAGTGAGTTGAGTCATAGCGTGCTGTTGAGTGACTTTAATGGGTCATTAAAACAGGATTAAGCTCGAACAAAACATAGTTCACTTGTGTTTCTTACACAAATAGCCTGAAAGTAGTCACATGCAGTATTTTTTGGTGATTTTGTGCATGAAACAACCTATATAGTATAGTTGAAGGGAATGAGAGGGTCCTTTCCCCTTGGGATGCTGAATAACATGTGTTGTGCACCTGTGTTTTGGCTCAATTTGTCACATGAGATCAAGTGCAGAATTTTCATTTGTAGTGTCACATTGGTGATTTTGTTAGCCAGCTTTTCATCACTGAGAAAAAGTATGTGAGGAAATGAGTTTAAGTAGGAAAGATTTGTTTGGGCTCATGATTTCAGAGGTTTCTGTCCACGATTGACTGGTTCTTTTGGTGGATGTGTGAAATGAGGTAGAAGAGCGTGGCGGAGCAAAGCACCTTACCTCATGGCAGCCAGAAGGCAGAGACAATGGGCCGGGGTCAGATATAGTTTCAGGACTATACTCTCCTGGTTCCCTCAGTTGTCCTCAGCTTCTGTTTCTAGGACATCCCAGTAATATAATCAAATTGTGATCTCATTATTGGGTTAGTCTACTGGTAAGTTAAGAGCCCTTCTCTAGTCACCTCCGTAAGCCTATCAACAACCAAGCATTCAACATAGTGAGCTTTTTTTAAGGGGAAGTATTGAGTCCGAATCACAACAGCAATCAAAAGTTTTGGATTTTGGAGTATACTGGCATTTTGTATTAGAGGTGCCTAATCTGTATTCATTTTGAAAACTAATTTAAGATAAATAGAAATTATTCAGTGAAATGCAACTCTGTGCAGAAATAGCCCTGTCAGAACATTAACCTCTATCATTTAGGTACTTACGGAGCTTTTGATAAATGTTGTGACTTTGTTTCCTTAACTTTAAAAGGAGTGTCAAACATAATAGATTCTGTCTCTTCTAGTTGTATGAGTGTGTGAATGTTGGGCTGATTATAGATAATAAAATGTAGTCTATTTTTAAAGAAAATTCTAGGATTTAGAAAGTTTTATAGCTTTCTTATTCTTATATATTAATGTTATTTACATCAACTGGCCAACTAAGGACTAGTGAATTATTATCCAGAGTTTCAGCTGTTACAAGAATAGGAAATAGTGGTCATTGTAGGAATTGGAAACTAATTTTGTTTCAGTTCTATGGAGTAGTGTCTTGAATCACAAAGAGATTAAGTAACGAAGCTTCAGCTAATACAAGCTTTATTAATTTGGATGAAACATCTGTTCAAATGAATTTAAAGAAATTACATTTTATAAAGTTGCTTTGTTAGAAAACTTCGCTTAATAAATTATAGTTTGCCTGAAGTTACCCACTCATAACATTCTTCACTTATTAAAAGGCAAATTCCCTAGTGTGTTTTTAGTAGGGGGAGAATTTAGAATAATTTTACACATACTGTTTACCATGTCTAAACAAACAAATTGTCAAGACATCAAAAGAGTGACAGCTATATGAGGGAAGATGTGATTGTCCAGGCATTGCCATGTTTACCACTTAGTAATCCTTGCTTGTAATTCTTAGCAAGATACCTGTCTGTGTGTCTGTCTGTTTACTTATTTAGAGACAGGATCTCACAGTGATTGTTCTGCCTTAGCCACAAATGCTGAGATTACAGCTATGTTCCATAATACCCAACACTATTTTTATTCTTAAATCTTCTAAATTTTGAGATTAAGTATGTATGTTTTAAAGAATAGAAGAAACTAAGCA